AACAGTGTTTTCATCGAAAACTATTAATCTAAAAACCAAACTTTTGCCGCTTGCTCATTTGTAAGATTTCCGCATCGCTAATTCCACCAAGGTCCCCAATACCTCCTATTCCGCCGATAGCAGCACCAAGCGAAATACCATTCCCATTGGTGTTTCTAGAATCTTCTCCGATATTACCACCGAGACCGTTGTTGCTACTAAACGCGTCAGTATTTCCTATCGACGAAAGAAGCCGCTTGGGTTCGATGTCGCCAGATGCATTAGAATGTTGCAACATGAGTTGCCGGATCCGAAGGTTATCGGGCACATCGGAATATTGTGCATTTAAGTTAATTCCGTTAATGCTCATACCGGATGAAACTCCCATACCTCCAGCAGACCCACCACCCATCCTACCATTGAGTGCCATGTTGAATCCTCCCATTCCAACACCTCCTCCAACTCCGAGGCGTTCAATTGCTTGTTGTTGGCGCATCATCTTTTGCATCTCAAGCGCGTTCACCTTGCGCCTCGCTAATAAGTCTGCATCGGACAATTTGGTGAGTTTTGTCGCCGAGGCTGAGATTCTAGAAGATTGGAACAAATCTCCATCCAAGCCTCCTCCATGGCCGCCCATCATATCCTGACGCATAGACATGGGAATTCCCCCTCCAAGAGCTGCAGCTCCAAAAAGGGCGGACGACGATGAGGCTGAGCCGCTTGCCCTCAATCGCTTCATTTCGTTAATTTTTACAATTTGACCAATTATTTCTCGAAAGTGACGGTTCTGAAACTTGATGGCGTCATTCGAAAGCCACAGGCGTGCTCGTTCCGCTTCCAAGTTCTTAATTTGGGATCGCTCTCGTTCTCTTGTCCGTTGTGAATTGATGCGGTTGCGGGCCTTTTTGACTTCTTCCCACTCGAGAGATTTGGATGAGGAGGTTGCGGTAGTATTGGATGAATTCATTTTGGTGGTGCCTTTGATTTCCTGAGACACCTTGGCTTTTGTAGTCTTCACTTCAGTAGCGTCGACTGACGAATGTTCAGATCCAGATTCTGTTTGCAACATTTCTGTCTTGTAAAAAGCAGAGATTCAATATGGTTAGTTTTTCGTGTGTTGATTCGAACTTTTTTGTGCTGTTTTGGTCTCAAAAAAAAATTGTTGTACCGGCAGAAAAATGAGGTAAATGTACAACGATGAGAGAACTGCAAAGAACCTCTAGTTCTCTAGAGACAAAAAATTGTGATGAGATCAGAGACCCACATCATATGACGGTGTGGGGACTAGATCCGCTCGTGAGGGGGGGGTAAAAAATGTACCACGTTTTCTATGGTAATCTTATATGTAAGTCAAATCAACTCCAATCCAAAACACTGGTTTCAAAACCTTAATAAAAAATCATACGTAGAGATTCCTAAGTAAAGCTGGAAGGCAAGAACCTTTAACAACTTATTTCAAATGTATTTCATACGGTTTTACTATTTAACTCTCTCGTCTCCTAAGACCTTAAAAAAAGGATTTTTGAAACAAGCAGAGATGGTGGACATTATATAGACATTCGGTCTTTCACGAAATCGCGGATGACTAATGTAGAAAAAATTGTATTTAAACCTCAACTTCCAATCAAAAAAGAGAAGACAAATCGTATACCACTTCGGAAGGCAAAGAGGCTATAGTGATATTTGGTGCTTTGAATGACATTTGATCGTACGAACTTATCAATCCACACAAATACGATAGTGTTTGGATTACGGCTTACGGCTTCGTACGAGAATTTAACGTCCCCGTACTTCTATGTACCGTACCCTACTCTTCTACGACAACACTCATTCTTTCTTCGTTTCCAATGAGGCTTCACAGTCCCGTACGAGTACAGTACAAAGTAATTTCGAGCAAGCATAATCTACCCTGCCGTAGCTCACTCATATTAATTAACTTTGGAAATCAGAGGATGAGGAACAACTACGTACATACTGTATCGTTTAATTTGTTAACAAAACCTGTGTGTCATTTTATCACTAGTTGAAGAGTCCATTTTTTCTTACTATTGGTCAAGTATTGGCTCGGTGAACTGGACTACTATCTTTTGTGCACGTTAGCCAGTAACCTTAATGAATTCTCACAGGGACGATCATCATTGAAGATTTTACCACGTACCATTCTTACTAGACCCGTTACGGGAATGGAACCAGTAGGCGCTGCTTAACACACAAAATGAAGCGTTTGAATTAGTCCTGTGAACTGAATATAAAACTTGATACTTAAGAGGGGGCTGGGAGAATTTAAAAAGAAATTCTGGTAGCGCGGCTTATATTTTGGTAGCGTTTGTGGTAGCAATCTGGTAGCATTGATGGTAGCAATCTGGTAACAATCTGGTAGCAAAATGGTAGCAAAATGGTAGCAAGATGGTAGCAATTCTAGTCAAAATCTGGTAACCAGAAAAAATACCAGATTGTTACCATGTTGTTACCATAAATCCTACCAGATTCTGGTAACTGTTCTGGTAACCGTTGTGGTAAATACTTAGTTCACATAAAAGTGAAGCATAAATACAGCGATTTTTTGCTCTGGGACTACTTTTTTAAACAGTTTTTACGGTACAATACCGGTAGGAGGACTGCTTTCCAGGATTGGCTCATAGCAGCAGCAGCAACAACAAGCAATACAGTAACATGAGCAACATCAAGCATGTTATAAGAAGACACAGCAATCGAGGCGGGGGGCTTCGATGCCTCATAATTCAGCATGGCAAGAGCAGGATCATCGTGTTCAAAGAAAGGGAAGCGTCAGGAAGAGCAAACGCGTAATCCAGAACCAATATACCGTCGATTAGAGCTATCGAAGAAGATAGCTTGCTACAACTACTGGCTCCATTTGAATACAGCCGGAGCAGAAGGCTGGGACCCTGAGAACAAGCCTTCTTCTGTTTACAACTACAGAAGCTCAGCTTACATTCAACAGCACATCAAAGTATCAAGTTGGCCCAAGATTGGGAAGGTACGTTGTTCGGAGTTGGGAAGGAGGGAACCATCTCATTGTTGCTCACGCGTTTGCTTATTCTTACGACGACTACTAGAGTATGGCAACACTTGCCCAAGATCTACAGAATCGAGGAATCCGTCTTATTGATCCATACAAACAAGTAGAAGAAAAGCTTGCAGCAATTGCCAGAGCCAAGAAGGAGGAAGCAGAAGTGGAATCCGAAGAAGAATATTCCTCGGAATCAGACGACGACGAAGCACCATCCCCCACAGCAACACCATCCCCCACCACCATGCCACGCCGAAAGAAGAGCAGCCGACAAACAACAGATGACGAGGAGATGCTTTCAGAGCTTGCTGGAAGCATGTCTATCTCCAACAAGAAGAGTAAATGTGCTGATAAGATTGATCTTCAGTGGGTTTCTGGATCTCTCATGTATCCAGCTCTTTCCGGAAGATGGACAACCTTCGACCATACTACTGATAATATGGTTCACTATTCCTTGGTGAGACTGCTCACACATACTGGAGCAACCAAATCAGACTACGTCCTTCAATGGATTGATGAATATACCTTTCAGGTCAGATGCAAGTGGCCTGCGTTCATGAGGCAGTGCATGACACAGGTTGATTTAGATATGACAACTAATGACAAGGGACAATCCTATCCAACGTTTCCAAGGGATCATGCACTGTGGACTAGCATGGGAATCGAAGCAATGGAACTCAAGGAACCTGATGGATGCATCTGGTCTGAGGGGAACCTCAAGTTCCAGAAGAGGATGGATACATCTGTTTATGTTGCGGAAGTTCTTGTTGCCTCAGTTGAAGTAGAGGGGGGACACAAAGGTGATGCAATGGTCCTTCAAATCATATTCAAGGAAAAACAGGAGAATCGCAAACCAGCTCCTTTCCAGTCTCCTATCAGCAGTAAGAGAGGAGGTATCAGCAAGATGAGTAAGTCTCCCCCTGCTAGTCGCACGCGTCCTAGATCACCTCCACCACCAGCCCCAGCAGCAGCAGCAGCTAGACGAGGGGGGGGACAGGATGAGGATGATTACGAGAACCAGAGGAAGAAGAAGAAGCCTAAAACAACAACTAGTTCAACTAACGAGACTCCTTTGCTGTTACCTTTACCACCTTCTCCTTCTCCCACTAAGTCTGATGGTGTTGATACCACCAACCTCACACAACAAATGGAGGAGACGTGCTCCTCTTTCCACTCTTTTGATACCTCCATTGCTTCCTCTGGAATTGACCCAATTAGTGCATTCCACGATGCCAAGTCACACCTAGATGATATGGAGAAGTTCCTCAAAGAACAGTAGATCATTCAATAGATCAAAGAACAGTACTAGCGTTATTTCCGTGGCGCAAAAATAAAGCATTAGTAGTACTAAGCATGCTTAAATGATCAATCATTCTCTCTAGCAAGACTGGATGCCACGCGTAGTTGCTGTAATGTACTAGAGCAATCCCCCAAAGACCAGATTCAAAGCTGGCATGCTTGCTCTGGGGCTAGCGTTTCAAGCAGCAGCAGCAGGAGACTCCTTTTCAAGCAGCAGGAGACTCAGTCGTAGTAGTAGTAGTAGCACTATGGCGGAGGTCAAGAGTTACTAAAATGAGCAAACTGGCAAGGCTCCCCCCTTGTAAAAGGAATTTCTACAGGAAATTGCTGTACAGCTTGTACTAGGAAAGTTGAATTTGATCCATTTTGCTCTCCAGTTTGCTCCACTGCTGCCGGTTCAACTAGTACGTACTACTAGTACTACTACTACTAGCGCTCGTTTGAAGCTGGTCTACAGCATGCTGCCACATGGAATCCTAGAACAGCTCTGGTTGCAGAAGGAAGAGAATACTACTAGTACTACTAGTGTTCGAATGGTAACTGCATGTATCTGCTCGGTGCTACAGAGAACCTGTGCTATGTTGTTACTCCAAGGAGCTACTAAAAATAATTCACATCATACTCCAGCCCATCAGAAAATACTCTTGCTCCCGACTGAAACTTGAGCTGTGTAATAACAGCAACAGCATTAAAACACTGTCCATGCCTCCTCATCATTGTATCTCGGTTTGGCTTCATGTGTCTAAAATGAGTAGTGAGGACGTTGTATTGTTTCAATCTACCATTAACAGCTTCCTGCTGCGCCCGAGCATTTGATTTCATCTTCCTTTGCTTACTAGTCAACCCCATTCCAGGAAGCTTGAATCTAGGATCTTTGGTGTATCCACTATCAACTTCTACAGCTTCATCGCTGTGTATAAGCGTTCCTAATCCCTCAATGAATATTGTTGCATCATTTGTACTTCCAAGGAAAGGACCATTCACCCAAACAATCCAACCAGTCTTCAAGCAAACGCCTACTTCATACTTGAGAGCTGGCCCATTAAACTTATGGGAGTACATTGTTTTTGTCCAAGGAGAAGGCTCAAAGACAGGACAGTCTGTTCCATCGACGCTTATGAAACAGTTTGTTTTGACGTCTTGTCCGGAAGAATATCCACCAAATCTGTTGTCAAGACTAATCAAATCATCCTTTAGTTCTGCAATCCTTGCCACAAAGTACCAAGCCCACTCTGAAAAGACCTTCGGGGAAGGCCATCCGACTATGGCACAGTGGATTTCAACAGTTGAATAGATCTTTAGGTGAACAAGGGCCCACAGCAAATGCTTTGGTTTCCCACCAGTTGCAATACCACCACGAGCTGCTATCCTATTCCAGATTTCTGCCACTATTTCACTTGAAGCTCCAAAGAAAGATGAGAATCTCTTATCCTTTGTCTTTGAATTCCATCTCCTCTTTTCAGGCCACCGAAGAATGTCTTTTGCTACTAATTCTATGCTGTCTTTGGAAAGTTCCTCCATGGTGTACTGACGTCGGAAGAAGCAGTCGTCGTAAAATAAGAATCGCTACTGTAACACACTAAAACAGTACTTCTACTGGGTCCTTTTCTACAGTTCAAGGCTTGTTCAATCGACAATGGAAGAGATCTATCGACTGATACAAAGATCATTAAGAAAGAGTGAGTGGAAGTGCTTCAAACAGCTATTCCCATGGTCGGTTGCTTTGAACCGGGGAGTTTTTCTTTAGAATGAAAGAACAGTTTAGTTCACTGGAATCAGCACGCTAGATCAGCGTGCTGGAGGCAGGTAAAGGTCACGACAGTAGGACACGGTACATTTTTGAACGCTGAATCA